CTCCTCCTCCTCCTCCTCCTCCTCCTCTCCTCCTCCTCCTCCTCCTCCTCCTCCTCTCCTCCTCCTCCTTCCTCCTCCTCCTCCTCCTCCTCCTCCTCCTCCTCCTCGCCTCCTCCTCTCGCTCCTCCTCCTCCTCCTGCCTCCTCCTCCTCCTCCTCCTCCTCCTCCTCCTCCTCCTCCTCCTCCTCCTCCTCCTCCTCCCTAAATACTGCATGTTGCTGTCTCTCACCTATCTGCCTCTTGGCCTCTGCCCAGGTAGGCTCTTTGCCCAGAAGGGTCATGACCGCCGTCATCACCGTCTCCACCAGGGTCGGGGGGCGGCCATACGACTTGATCTCTGTCATGTCCTTCTTATTGAGAGACTCCAGAGCCTATGTGTGAAAAGAGGAAGGAAAAGGACGAGGAATGGCAAAACATTTGTGGATGTAGGAAGATAAGTTTGACAGCCAGAAAGTACACACACAACAATGACAAGGTGCTTACAGTGCAGCAGAGAAATAGAGCAGTCACTATAGTCAGATACACTCACCAAATATCAAGGGAATTATTGAACTGGACTAATGGAGGAAGTGTGAACACAGAGAACGCAGACAGAGGGATGGATGAATAAAAAGTCAACAGGAAGGAGCCTCACCCTCATGGCATCTTGCAGTGCAGGCAGGACCTCGTCCAGATCTCTCTGTGCGTTCTCAGCCATGGCTTTACACTGCAGCTCTTCTGCCTTGATTTTCTTACTGCTAGCACTCACCACCTAAACACAAACAGAATATGTGTAAGTAGGTTGCGAAACCACATCACTTCCTTGAACAAATGAGTTCTTTAATCCATTAAGTTGGTGTATATGTTGTTGGTGCTTACATCCTTCTGCTTGTTAGCTTCTCTCTTCTGCTGCACAATGACGGCCAGGTACTCGTCACACTGTTTCTGGAACTCGGCCACCTGGATTTTGGCTTCCTCCAGCTCTACAGACATAGCCTCCACCTTCACCCGCGTGTCACTGATCTTGAAGAGGCCATTACTCAGTTTGCTCACCTGCTCCCCCAATTCCCTGCGTTTCTCCTCCAACAACCTGGAGGGAACCACACATGAAGCAATTGTAAGTGGTGCGAAAACAGAAAAAAAAGAAACAAGAACAAATGAAGAACTCATTTCGAAGGTCCCTACTTCTTGTATCCAGACACCAGCTCCAGGTAGTTGGTGGGGGTCACATAATTATTTCTCTTCAGCTCCATCTTCATCCTTTGGGAGATCTGCACAACCGACTGGTGTGTGGTCACAAAGATACTGGCAACCTTTGTCTGGATCTACAACATCATGCAGCATATGTAACAAGTTAATCAGGAACTTCAGGATACACATTTTTTATGATTTATACATTGATCTGGTTATTGATGTTAGTCTCAGACCAAGGTTCAGTGCAGTTCGCAGTTAAAGTTAATAGAGATATAACAGATTTCTGTTTTCTATACTAGAAACCTTTTCGTGTGAGTTTTTAAACAGTTCTCAACGTTTTTTGAAAATAACTGACCTTTTAATAATGTGGAAGGTGTTTAATTTAACATAACACTAAAGTGATATCAAGTGAAATGCTTTAGGTCATACAAAATGTTTACTGGGCATCAAAAATTAGGGCGCTTCCTGTGAAAAAACTGAGAAAAAAGCACCAGTTTTATTGTGAAAAATCTATTGTGTGACGTGCATGCATCCCTCACCCCCTCAAAGGAGCCCAGATCCAGTCCATCCAAGTACCGCTCAGCGACTTCCAGCAGAGCCTCTTTGGGCCACTCACAGAACCAGTCAATGGTGGTGCAGTTAACCAGCGCTGGGTAATGGAGGATGCGGTCCCTGTTGGCAAACATTTATGATCAACTGTAATATGTGGATATTATGATGCCCCTTATGTGGTCAGAGGGTCTGTTAACTAGAGCAGGTGCATTTGGCGGTTGGTTAGACAAAAAATAAAGCCATTATGAAAGCCACTATGGATGTCATTCAATGTCCCTTAAACTAATGCTGTCTTTTGTGACAACAAGCTCTTTATTTATAGAAAGACTGGCACGCTCATGGCAGTCAAAATTGCTTTTAACAGACCAATTTTTATATAAATTCCTACGATAAGTAGCATCAGAGTAGCTGTAGAACTACAGTGCGAGTGTGTGAGTTTAGCTGGTTAATTTGTGTAGCAGACTCCCTGAGCCCTGGTGATGTGATATGGCTCCTGCTGGCAGTCAGAGGGCCAGAGAACGGTGGTTAGCTCTGGGTAATGATGCCTGTGAGCCCAATTAGCAGCACTTTGTGTGACCAGTACCCTGTGCCACTATTTGGAAATGGGCCATTAATGCTTGAAAGTAGTTTTTTGTGGAATAAATGGGTTCGTAAAATGTATGTTATAAACAGAAAATGTGTGACCCCAGTGTAACTTTGAAAATCTGCTGAGAGGTACTGCTACCCTGTACATGACCACCAGAGCATAGAAATGACCTTCATTAACAAACCTCGGATGTGTCTGCTTGCCTGGGTCAAAAATGCATCAACATGCATATTATCTTTTCCTCTTTCATTCAGTTAATATAAAATATTAGCAAAACATGTCTAGCGAGAGTTGAAAACATGACCGTGAGTGCCAATATTTTGTCGTGTGTAAAATTTAAAAATGATCCAATAAAAATAATAACGTTGTTTATATAAGTTACTTGTTGTTAGGGCAACAATGCATGTACAGCTGGGACATTTTGGGATTGCAACATGATTCATGCTGTTCCATAAACCTGAGCAACAAGAGCTAACAGGATCCTCAAACAGAGGGAAAGAAAAGATAAAGGAGGAACAGATTGTGCAGCAGGATTAAGACACAGTGTGCGGCGAGGAATACAACCTGTATGTACCTGAAGGGCTCTCCCACTGGGCTCATACAGAGCACGATGTGCAGGTTGTTCCGGACTCGCTCTATCAGGTAACTGAACAAGGACTCAGGAGTCTCCACCACGTTGTCTTTCCTGGCAAACTCTGACAGAGCACTGCACACCTGGAGGTTAGAAGGCAACAATTACATATTTTAAGAATTGGAAATAGGTATCAAGTTTGAGACACCCTTTTGGATAGAAAGGATGCGGACACAGGTTTACATTGATGATGGTTAATGCTCAAACAGCCAAAGTAGATTTTTATGGCCGTTATTTAAATGTGTCCTTTGTTTTTCATGTGTATGTGATAAATTGACTAAGCTATAACTGCATTTTGTTGTGCAGGCATGTGTTGAGGAATTCATCTAAATGATCTCTAAATCTCTTAAATAAACATTAATGATTTATAGAGGCACACGATCCTACGGTAGACAAGTTAAAATTATATTGGAGGCTGTGTGTTACTGTAAACATTCAGAATTTAGATTTGACCAAACACGATTTTGCCCTATTCAAATGCATCTTAATGTAAAAACTCATTCCTGGGAATGTACTGTAATGATGGGTTTGATGGAGCTATTGCATTCCTAGTATTTTATGTCAAACCACAGCCAAGATAATTTGTTTCACTAGTTTAAACATTTAGTTCATCCAAAAGATTTTGAAGACAATACAGACCTCAACAAACTCGTCCTGTTTGTAGAGGTTAGGCACCTCTCCAGAGCTCAGGACGTTATTGATATCCTCCAGGAAGGATTGGTCCACGATCTGTGTGTCATTGAACAGGAAGACTGTGGGCTTGTTGTCCACACCGGTCAACCGGTAAAGCTTCTTTATGTCTGAAAAAAAGGATAAAGAAATCAACAATATATAATGACTGAAGATGGGATGTGAGGAACTGAATGAACAAAGACAGATTATATATTCAAAATAGTTTTACTATTTCAGCCAGGCACTAACATTTGTCATGCGTTACACTCAATATTCAAAAACATATGCTCATTGTGATCTTGTTAAATGTCCTTTTTTAGTTTGAATATTTATTGTTTCAATGTTCCAACAAAAGGGGACACCGTCATGCTATATGTATCTCAAACATCTGTAGTAACCTTCTCTGAACTCCTGTTTCCGGTATTGCTTGGTGACTTCCACCTCGAACACCTGGTATTCACAGATGTAGGCGGCCATCTTTGACAGGCTCTGTCTACCGGAGCCCCCCACACCTACAAGAAGCATGTTGCCCCTGAGCTGCCTGATCACACGCACAATGCGAGTTACTGTGAAGAGAAAACAAAGGAATTATCCAGATCATCATTTCTGTAGTTTTTTTTAGTTTTTTAAACCTATATCATTATGTGACACACTTTTCTATTTCCATTTCCTATGAATAGTGTGGAATCTGTTCTAATATTAGCATATCACTTTATGCAGCTTCAGTGTCCCTGGTTATGCCTGCACACTGACAAACCAGCGCAACACACACACACTAGTGTTGCTCCATGTTGTTTCTGCAGTAATGTAGTGCTATTGATTTGCTGTGGCGTGGGGTAAAGTGTCAGATTGACAGCAGTGTGTGGAGAGCAGAGCCTGCTGCTGAGAGGCCTTCTCTCTCCACTGCAGGGTAGCTTTTAGCTGCGCCTCATGCACTGTTCTTTCAAAAGGAGCTTCAAACTAGGCCTGAATCATAAATCTGACGAACAGTGAACACAACAAAGACACATCAGAGAACAGCACATGACATTGACTGTGGTAATGTACGGGATTGACTGCGCAGAATGGGATGGAGGGAGTTGACTCTTGAGGGAATGTTGTGTGTCTGTCTTCTGTGTGTCTTTTTAAACGTGTATAAAAGTGTGTGTGGATGTGTCTTATTGTGTTTTCAGACGCACTGTGTTCAATAGCATCTCGGAAGAGCACCAGGCTCATGGGCACTACGCCAGGAGTCAGGCTGTAGTCCTCCAGCTGGGTCTCCATGAACTTCTTGAGACCCTTCATGTCCGTTAGGTCCTCATACACTTGAGAGTCACTCATGAAATCACCTGACAAACACACAGAAATAATTAGGTGTCAAGTGTCCATTATTAATCAACAGTTATCTGTCAGAGTTTGTTTACACTCATTGGTTTAAAATGGCTGTGTGCATAATGGTTAATGTACCAAATATTGGCGGTTGTTTGTTGGGGCAGATGCTGTGGAAGGTGAGGTCAAAGAGGGAGCCCAGTTTCTCCCCCAGTAGAGCAACAAATGCCTCAGAGTCACTGTGATCCACCAGCCGGTCTGAGACAACCCTAAAATCAACAACAAAACATCAACAACAAATATTATCCAATATAAACACCTAAAAAAGCAGCATGGTTTGCCCAATGTAAAGTTGATGTATAGCTTTCGGCTAAATATCCATGACATCACTTTCATAATGAGGCTTGAAGTATAGTGAATATGTAATATGAATGTGAGAAGGTAAAACATTTTCTTTCTTACCTAAAGCACTCATGGATCCACAGTCTAGTGATGCTGTTTTTAGTATCATGGAAGTCTGGATGAGCTCTAAGCAGACCTTGAAACACCTAGAACGGGGAGAAATAAGGAGACAGAGAACCATTACTCTAAGCACAGTGGAAGAATTACAGAAATATTTGACTTCAAAGATACTCTCTTCCAATGTGAAACCGTGTTTTAGGTAATGTATGTATGTGTGTCTGAGTGTGTGATGTGGGTACGCGTGTATGGATTTGACCCATATTAATGTACTAACGTGTACCTTAGAGATGTCCCTGAGGTTGAAGAGGTAATGGATCTTGGCTGGAGTTGGAAGGAATCGAGCTGAAACAGCATAATACAGCTCTAAGGTGGCCTGAGTCAGAATTTCTCCAATGGGCTTTACCTCCTCCTTAAAGCCCTGCAGCTTTTGGTTGATCATAGTACTGTAGATCCGCCTAATCTGGGACTCCTGCACAGAGAAAGAACGGTCTGTTTAAGATCGTTGCATCTCTTTCACTAAACACCAATGTCAATGAAATACATGGATTTTAAAGTTGTACGGGTGAAAGAAAGAAGAACAGAAGAGGTATAAGGGATGTAATACATTCATTTCATGTTAGCACATTTTTACATTCAAGGGTGAGGCAACTCAAGTGTTGGCTTCGTGAATGCAATATTGCTTCAGCCAATTTCAAAAGCAAATCTATTTTGTTCTCTTGTGGCAATACAACAAACCAGAGTACACTACAAATAGAATGAAATAAAGATGGGCTGGGAAAGGTTAAAAGGAGCACAACAACAGAGATGAAAGCATGTCAGAAAATTGAAAAAGACTAAAAAGATACAAGAGGTGAGCTGGAGAGGGAGTGAGCAATGGAAGTACACAAATGCACAATAGAAGAAAACAAGAAAAGATATGATAAAATGTCTGGCAGATGGAGACTCACCAGCTAAAATGTACAAACATTGACAACATGTGTGGATGTCTCTTTTAGTTAAATGAGAAAACGGTCAAAACTACACAATATGATTCCTGGGTATTTGTATTATATTGCTTATTCCACATCGAATGTTTTCCTCAGTGCTTAACAAGGAAAGGTCAGATGCATTATCAGTAGGACTTACATGAGGGAAGGTCATATTGATGAGATTGAATCGACTCTGTAGGCGGCCAGAGATGTGAGTCCTCCCTCCACCTGGGGGCCCCATAGATGCCATCAAGAACATGTCCTAACACAGCAGACACACAAACAGAACAGAAAAGAGCACACGTATTGGCCTCTGAAGAACATACTTAAGAAATAAACATACAACACATGTAAAGGTCAAAGAACAATAATTAAGCAACAAAAGTGCCATTACTCACCTTGACAAACTTTAAGGTCTGTTTCTGGCGGTCGTACCAGAAGCCGTAGTCGATCCAGAGATGGAGCAGCTCCAGCGGTGGCTGAGAGCCGAAGAGGTCGTGCGCTGGCATGTTGAGGTCGTCCAGGAAACACAGCAGGCGCTTCCCCCCCGCTGGCACAAACACGCCTTTGGTTCTCTTCTCTATGCGGCTCTCCACGATGGCCTGGATGTTATTAGAGGTGGTCTGAACAGGGATGGATACAAAGGGAGAGAGAAAGACAGAGATGCAGTCATTCAGAAATGGGAACAAATATAGTTTATTGTGAAAATGTATATACATGCATTTAAGAAGGTGTTTTAGTTTATTAACCAAATGAGTGTCTTGGCTTGTTGGCTAAAAGGAATACATTGTTGTATCTGTATAATATACGTCATGTGACTGACAGAATGAGGGGGGTAAATATAAAACCTTACCTAGTATTATCAAAATCTTGATACTTTTGATGAGTCAATTGTGGGATTAACTATGGAATGTAGCTATGACATTCATATCAATACTTTTTGAGAGTTTTGAGCTATTGACACAAATATTGAATCTTAAATACACTGTCCGCTGAAAGCAGCAGTCATGCATTCACTGACATACAATTACGAGTAGCTTAATAGACTTTTTAAAATACAAACAAATGTAATGACATAAGGAAAGAAACTTAACTAAACTAACCACAACTACTAGTAGTAGTGTGTTTGTGAAGGTTGACAAAAACGTATCACAGAAGAGTGTGGAGGGAAAAGTGGTGGGGACAGCATTCCCGAATTGGTGATAATGGTGGTAAAAGTGTGGCGGAAATGAGTGCCTACATAATATCCCTTCATCACTGCTATTCAGCAATGACGTCGTCCACTGACTCTAATTGCAGTGAAGCTGAGATGGAGGCTATTCAAAGCCATGATGTGGTGGGATGGAGGCAGTTTCATTCACTCACACAGACATTTGCACAAGCACCCCTGTACTCAAACACCTCGATGTGACTGTGTCTCATGCGGCAAGTGAGGGGGGAATATACATATAAATATAAATGCATATTGGGGTAAAAATATCACATCTTTTCATGAGAAAAACAGAAGCAAGGTGTAGATTCAAGGAAAGACAAGAAGCCAGAGACTGAGCATCACCCAAAAACAACACATTTCTTTGGAGATAGACTTGTGTTTTTGACAGTGTTAGAAGAATAGGGAATAACACGGACACACACACAGGCAATGCAGAGGCACTAACCTGTGAGGACATGTTGACAGTGAGGGAAGACCACTTGTTATCCAAGCCGTGCAGGATGCTCTGGGCCACTGAGGTTTTTCCAGTGCCCACGGGCCCAGTGAGCAGCACTGGGTACCGACCCATCACCAGAGCCTTAGCCAGGAAGTTGTAGCGAACTGTGTCCACTGTGGGAACCATGATCTTATAGAATGGAGCACTGCAGCAGGAATGGAAACAGACATGGTGGGTTATACCGTCTTTCTTTATGCAGATTCAAGAGTAATATTCAGTGGGTTGGCAGACAGCGGATGTCTGATACAAAGAACCACCAGGTCACTTACCTAGCATTGTATCGCCAGCCCTTTGGCAGTTTCTCTTCAAAGGAAGCCCAGGTTTTGTTCTTGGTGTCCACATAGTACTCATAAACCGTGTCCTGAAAGAGTTTACAATTCAAGTTTAGAGACGGTTATGTATGTTATTTAATTTTTGAATTACAATTATTATTTGTATATTTGTTTCAGATGTTTATATACATTCTGGAGTAATCTATGCTAACAGTGGCTAATCTTTAACTATTAATTATACGGTTTTTAGTAAATAACATTGTTATCTGTATGCATATACTTGTATGACATTTCTTTACTCTTTCTTCTCATGTTTCGCTATTGTATTACTATTTTGGCACCCATCAATGCCCTGGTTCCATTTTTGATTTTCCTTTTTTAATATGTTTTGATTCTTATGTATTATAACATTTCTAGTTTCTTCGCCATGAGATTATAGCTCTTATACCTAAAACAATGCTTTTTTTTAACAAGCTATGCTTTCTGCCCACATGTTTCAACTTTTTTTTCTTGTGCCTTGTGGGTTTATATTAATATTGAATAGGTTGTTTCTCTCATTGCTTCATTACTCTAGCCTGCCCAAGCCTACTTGTCCTTTTTATGCAAAACATAATTTAGCCGAGGAAATTGGCTAAACACTGGCCAAGTAAGCAAACTAGTGCTGAGTGTTTGACTGATGTTGTATGTCACAGGTGTGTTAACAAGTATTATGCTCTATAGAGGACCTTGCTGGGGAAGGTGCCCTCTATCTCCCGCAGGAAGTTGTCCATCCTCTTGCGTCCATTTTCGTCTACAGAGGCACAGACAGACCAGATGAGGCTGAAGATGAACCAAAGCTCCACCATCCTACCCAAGTTTTCTGTGTCCGAAGTATTCATCTGGAGAGAGGGAGAAGAAACATATTACTTACTCACACGCTTAGGCTTTATTTCAGTTATGAGTCTAAAAACAAATGGCCTTTTTCATAAATATCAAGTTATGATGGAAAGTGGTTGTCCATGAGAGGGGTGTGCAGTGGAGGCTACAGATTGCACTTTGTCTCACCCCATTGCTGGGTGTGGCCAGGGAGTCATAGAGGCGGCAGAGAGAGGTTACTCCGTTCAGCTCAGTGATGGAAATCAGCTCCTTGCAGTTTGTCTTCTTAAAGTTCAGTGTGCTCTCCGTGTATTTCTCAAACAAGCGCTTTAAGTGGACCCCTTCAGCCTGTGGAGAAATTAGGCCCCAAATGATCAGTAGATATACATGGAACAAAAAGGGGTCCAGAAAACAAGGAATAAAATGGATGTCATTCAAAAAAAAGTCAGTGCATTATTATGATTGAATGCTCTGCACCTTGTTTCGCTTGTCCAGCCACGACTGAACAAAAGGCTTCCATCCCAGGTCAGTGTAATCGTTGTAGACCATCCCACAGCGAGACACTGTAGCTGGAGAGGCCTGTGCTAGGTTCTCCGCTTCAAACAGCAGAGACACCTGGGACAAAACTATTTAGGAACTTTATCTACTCAAGAGACAATCAATTTGAAACAAAGAAGGTCATTAGTTTGTAAGACGTTTCCCTTTCAAGCTTCTTCCTCTTTCTAATCATAGAATAGAATAGAATCGTTTCATGTCATTATACATGTACAATGAGATAATAAATGCTTCTCCCTCACAACATAAGACAACAAATACACGCAGCATACATATTTAGGAATAAGGAATAAAGGAATAAGGGATAAAGTGCAGTAATTATTTCCAGGAGTAAACATGTTAAGTAAACAAACATGCTGGTTATCTTTTGTTGGTTCTGTTCGAACCTGTTCAGGCATGGAGATTCGCTCTCCATTGATGAGTGTGAGCACCTTGTTGTCATCCATCACAGAGTTCATACTCTCTATCCACAGTGTGTCAACAGGCCCATCAAATATGATCCACTTCTCATCTGGCTTCTCATCTAAAGAAAAGAAAGGCAGGTATTGACATTCAAATTATGAGTGACATGGAAAACCACATTTTTTAACACTACCATTTTTGTATGTATAGTATTACCACCCTAAAAGCAAGTGGAATTGGACTTTGTTGACAAAACTCTATGAGACAATATAAGGATTTAATTTGATGTTCAGTTTAAACATGTGTTTGCATGAACAGCAATGTGTGTTTTAGTGTCAGCACCTGCGCATGCTGATCTCATGAGTGAAGACAGAACTCCATCAGACCACTCGTTGGTGGAGAGGTCGTTTTCTCCATACAGCTCTCCCAGACTCAGGGCCTTGGGGTTCAGAGGATAGTCCTGTATCACAGGGACCAAGGCATAAAAGACAAATGATAAACAAGAAGAGCAATATTATGGCAGATTATAATGACTGATGTCAGCCAACAAATGAGATCAGTAGCTTTCATGGACAGTTTTTTATATTTTAGCGCCTGAATTGATTAGGGTAAAGATATCACAAACCTAGATTCATTTTAGTAACATTTTAAGAAACACTTTTTGTGTACTGCTTGTGTGTGTATTGTGTGTGTGTGCCTAATTGTGTCTGCATGAGCATGTAGGTGAAACACAATCAGAAATAGAAGGTAGAGTATCTCTGTGGAGACAGGCAGTAAAGAGGAACAAAGAGAGAGAGAGATAATGAGAGCCAGAGAGTGGTGAGGCACCAGAAATAGATATGCAAAAAGCACAGTGGGGAAATAGAGAACAAGAGGTAAAAATAAAGACAAATAGGTAGAAAGAAAGCACGATGAAATGTAAGGCTAGAAAGAGAAGCAGGAAGAAAACATGTCTGTCATTCTAAATGGCTGTTGACTCGTTTTGTGACCCTAAAACATTCTTTTTAGTTTTAAGAAGCGATAAATGACAGCGTGTTCTTGTCCATCCACACCCACCTGGACCAGCTCATAGTCAGGCACTCCTTTTTGATGCAGGGTGGTGAGGGCCTTCTGCAGAGTCCTCCAGGTCACACTCTTACCGCTGCCTGTCTTGCCCACCAGCATGGTGGAGTGTCGAGAGTTTTTGGTCTCATAAAGTTGGATGACCTTGGTCAAGGTGAAAGCATTCACCTGCAAACCGCTCTGACGAAGCTCCGCCTCTATAGCCTCCCTCAGCTGCAACACAATCACAGAAAAAGATAGACGGATGATGGTGATACCCAGAGTGATATTGTACAGATAATGATGATATATGGACCACAATGTACAGAGTCAAGTTGATGATTTTTGTTTCTTAACTATAGATTTATGCAGTTTATGACTGTGCTCTCAAAGCAAACCTTACCAAACACTAATTTTCTGCGAGAGCTGATCTGGACTGCTGACTTACCTTGCCATAATCTATGACGGGTGTTTCCACAGCAGGAAACAGGTCCTGGGTGATTCCATTGAACAGCGGCACGTCAGCAGAAGTCAGCTTAGCGATGTTCATGTCTTTCATCGCCATCAGTAGGATCTGTGGACAGAGAACATAATTACATCTATAATGGAAATGTTAGTTCATTTGAACGGGAGGACAGTTGTTAGTTTTGTTGAATTAATAGATCATTGTTTCGTATAATTTCACATTGTAGTAAAAGGTGTCGATAGATGATGTAGTCACAGCATCTACCTACTTACTTCTTGATCCGCCAAGGAGTTGCACTAACTTTACATCTGGGAGAAGGTCATTTGATTTGACTAACTCAGACCATTAGACAGGTAGAAAGTGAGCGTGACAAAGAAAGACCTACTTCTTCATCAGGAACGTTGCCGCAAAAGCGTCTCTTCTGTCCAGCATAGCGGAGCAAGGAGGTGAGGGCACGCAGGCCAAAATCATAGTGGTCCTGTTGGGACAGCTGCTGCACTGCCAGGGAGTACAGCGTGAACACCTTCTTAGCCAGGAGCTACGAGGACAAAGGCAGAAAACCAAGGTGACTCAGAGTAACAGAAACATCCACGCCCACCACTGATCATGTTCAGCTGAAGCTACAGTCGTTCTGATTTTACAACAAGATTATTATTAATGGCACATAACTCATTTCTAATGCATCTCTATCAGTGTAGAAGAACTCAATCTCATGTGATGATTGCCTGAGCTCTTCACATAAAAGAAGCGGGAATGTTTCATTAAGGCTGTGATAATTCGAAGATATTCTTTAGAAATCGGTGCGACTATGAGCTGTGTACAGGGTAAAAATAGCACGCAGAATGAATTCATTAAACAGATACATACACTGTACTATCTGTTGTTATTGAGAAGTGAGAGGGTTGTAGGGTTTTCTTATAGTTACAGAGTAATGCCATATTTCCATGCTCCTGAATAAATTGTGACTCTAAATTGTGGCCTGAAACCACCAGACCTGGTTACAATGAGTTTACTGTACATGCACACATGATAGTGTGTAATAGTATTATCCTGGGAAACGTATAGTATGCACATTTCTGAAATCAGGGTATTATTTACTTCGCAAAACACACTATCAGGATACTCCGATGAAAATCGGATGAAAAACCATGCTATTAGTGTGCGTGTTAACATACAGAAAGACACAGATACCAGCTTTTCCCCCAGCACGAATATAAAAGTCCTTCAGTTTCAGTACCTTGCAGTTGTTGAAGCCTTCTCCAAACAGAATGATCTCAGCGATTAGAGTTGAGTCTGGCACCACCATGGAGATGGGTCTGAACATGGCTTTGAGGTTATCTGGGAGCTCGGAACGACCAGCGTAACCTAGGGAGACACAGACGGAACAAAAAAGATTATAAAGGGGCGGCTGTGGGCTAGTGCGCTGATCCTCAGATCAGGGGAGCAGCCACTGCAGTCAACATGCTGTTGGGTATTGTCCACAGTATTGATGTATTCCATGTGTAATATATGTAATATGTAATGTAAAGCGCTTTACGCACTTGTAAAAGCGCAACAAATAGATGCAATTCATTATTATTATAATAATAAACCTTGAAAATGCTTAAACCACTTTTGCAACGTAATGTATGCTTTTGGGCGTGTGTTGACCTACCAGGATTCATGGTGATAAAGATACCACATGACCAGACCAGGCCTATGTGATGTCCTTCAAAATGGAACTTTGTTTGTCCGGCTGAGAGGGCAGACAGGATGAAGAGGATCTGCTGAGCCACTACCGACAACACCTCGATGTTGATTCTGTTGAACTCATCAAAGCACCCCCATGCTCCTGTCTATTTAGTGTTGACACAATAAAATACATTCAAATCACACATTGATCCAAAAACACATGTAGTTTCAAATCCATTGTTCCTACCTGTGCCAGTCCAGAGAACATGCGTCCCATGGATTTGTAGTCCAGTCCTTCAGAGCAGTTGACTACAATGACATACATGCCGAGAGCTTTGCCCAAGTCCTTCACTGTCTCTGTCTTCCCAGTCCCCGCAGGGCCTTTAGGAGAGCCCCCGCGGTGCAGATGGAGGGCTGTGGTCAGGGTCATGTAACACCTGGACACAGAAAAACATGTAAAAACAGACGTTGGCTCTACAGATAATAATAGTAAAAATAAATATCTAGATACAAGCAAATATGATCAGATATTTTCATTTCAAGCAATAATAAAAAGACCTTGATGTAGCCTTTATTGCAATTATGAATCTTCTGTTAAGACAATTCACATTCAAATGTGCATTGTCCTTTTATCTGTAAATGCACTAATAAAGGTATATAATATATATAATCAAGTGATTACACTACAGTAACAATCCTAATCACTTAATATTTAAGTACACACATAAAACTGAAGTGTGACTGATTGATTGTGCTGTTGCATTTGTTGGTTGGTGCACTAATTGGCTAACTGAATGATTGATGGCTACCTGTCAGTCAGTGGAGTGATGACGAGGCGTCCGGAGTTGCCCAGGTACTCGTAGCCGTACTTGAAACGTGTGTTAGTCTGTCGGATTATGCAGTCTTCGGATTCCTATTGGGAAGATTAATAACATTTTAAAATGCAAGTTCAGTGGATGTTTTTTTTCATTTCCAACTTAGCTGATCTAAGCAAAAATGATCTTTTGCTGCTATTAGACATAGAGTGGTAGAGAGCGGGAAATGCTGAAAATAGTGAGTATAGTGTGAAAGATTGAGGGGATATGTTTGTGGACAAGTGTTTTAAAGTATGCCATAAAAGAGGTTGCATCAATGCATAAAACAATACTTTTCTAAACCCATACCCACTACTAAAGTATTGCTTTCCGCTTTGAAATGTGTAAATCATGGATAAAAGTATTTTTCTCCACACTGTTTCCTGCTCTTGCACTTCTTGGAGCATACCTTGTCCCAGTAGAGTCGCAGCTGAGAGAGCCACTCAAAGGCATTAACGTCATTGCAGCCTGTCTTGGCCAGTTTATCAATGACATCCCGAGCATGAACCTCCACTGTGACCAGCGCTACGATCTTCAGACGGAGGACTTTGGACAGGTTGCCACGGATGAGCTCTGAATAGCAGTGAAGCATTGAGACCTGAAAACAGTTATAGCAAACGCTCAGAAGTTTACTGGGATCCTTTTCTCTTCTTTAAATGATTATATTGGCTATCGATGGAACTCAAAAGGATGGTTTAAATATATTGAAAATAAATCTCTAACCGTATCAATCAACACATTTTACATGCTACGGTAGTACAGAACTTTCATCTTGTTGGATGGAAGGATCATCACAGTCAGTTCACTCTAAATGATTCTAGTTTAGTTAAGCAACAAATAGTAAACCTGTTTCTTCTTCATGGATTTAAGGGACGATTTGTCACCCCTCTCCTTGCAGGTGAAGAGCGCTTTAGTGACATCGATGGTCCACTGGATCTGACTGGCTGTGATCAGCATCTACAATTATAGGAAGAATACACGCTTCATTACTTTTGAATGTAAAGCTTTGTTCCTGTTGATATAAATAGGGAAAGGTTAAATGGAGTTTAGAAGAAACTTGGATTAGTAAATCACTATAAGACACAGCTATTCAATTTAGTGAATCAAGAGCATGTCACTGAATTAGTGTCAGGATGTCAGATGGGTGCATTTGCAAAACCACAATGGGAAGTTATAGAGAGAAAAGACAAAGAAAAATGTACCTGTCCCGGCCAATCTCTGACCCATTTGTCTCTCTGTCCTGACATCTTCTTCAGAGACACAAGGCAGCCACTCAGATAATCCTTTAGTGTATCACGCATGCTTAACTCAACATCACACAGCCAAACCTGCATAACCACAAAACAAAAATGGTGCTGAAATCTCTCACAACTCTCTGTATTGTACACATTAGCACCGATGCTATCATGACTACACATCTATCAACAGAACACTCATATCAACACGATCATGACATTGATCATCACTGCTGTACCTCCACAGGTTTGTCCAGATATACTGTTGCAAAGAAGCTGATAAACTCCCCATCAGCAGACGACATCCCGACGGCCAGTGGTTTATTTATCTATAGAAGAAACACAATGCAACATGATATAACAAACCATCGTGCATTTAATAATCTCATCTTAAAAAATATGTGTCGAATAAGTAGTTCTCATATTACCTCCTAATGCAAAGGGAATACTAAGGGTACAGTAAGAACACATTGACAATAACCAAGCATTTTAAATATGCTTGACAATGAAATAATTTCCATAAAAATAAGAATTTAGCTTACATAAAAACCTTCTTAGATTTTGTACCAAAGTGACTATGTTAATAAACACAGGCAGTGTAAATCTAACTGCGATGTAATGGCCTTAAATGAATCTTTCTTAGAATAAGTATGTATGTGTATTTTGTCATTCTTTTTGTGATCCCTGCCTTGTCAATCTTCAGGCTCTTGATGTTGTCGAAACACTTCTTCATGTGGGGCTGCATGGCTTCTGGGTTCTGTGACTGCCCCAGGATCTCCAGTAAATCATCGTTGGACAGGAAGTAAAATCGTGGGAAGATCTGCCTCTTGGTCTCCAGGTACATGTCCAGGGCCTTCTGGATCTCCTCCAGCTTCACACTCATCTCTGACAGCTTCTCAGGCAAGCCTGGAAGTCAGAGAGGGGAAGCTAGTTGAAGACTAAGCTCTAAATATAATTGTATTTATCTGTCAGATGGTGTGAATCCATGTCCATGTTGTCGTACCGGCGTGGTGTGTCCCCTGCAAGGCGTTGTTATCCTTGTGGAGTCGGCCCATGATGGTCTCCCAACTAGAACTAACCTCTTCGAACTCTTCGCACTCACAAGGCAGCTGCTCCCTGATGTCCTTACCTTGGAAAATGTTCTGGAGGGAGGAGAGACAGAGAAAGAGTGCTCAAACTCTCCAATAAGACCACAACAGATGATAAATGTGTGCTTTGACAGATGATGGGAATACCCCTGGAAAGGAATGAATCATTTAACACAGTAGAGTATGTGAGTGCTTCCCAAACCTCCAGATAAATCCACTGACGCTGCACCGTGAGGATCATCTCGATGACTTCCAGCACCTGTGACAGCCGCCGCTCCCAGCTGTCCACCTCCCGCTCGAAGGCTTTGACAAAGCGAGAAGCTTTCATTGTTGACAGAATGACCATGTTGTCATCCAAGGCCTGGAAAACCTCCTCTGTGCCCCTGGGACAGACCAAGAGGGACAATTATGGTTGCTGAAGATTGCTTGAAATGGATTCCAATGGTGAAAGAGCAGAAATTAAGTTTATTATGTACAAGGTACAGTTAAGGTTGATGTAATGCAGTTTCTCAGTAACTTGATTGTCATTAGGTTTTTTTTATAATAATACTGTGCTAAAAAAAAAGACTCCAGCATTAGTCATATTTCATTAGGTTTGGTTCAGACTTTTGGTAAATAAAAAAGTAATCTATACAGTACACGTTTTTAGGTTTAATTTTCAGTACCTTTCACATATCCTTCATTTTCTCTTTTTGCATTACAACCTCACAGTTTCATGTTTTTGACTGTGGGCAAGTGGCAGACAGTAGTCTTCCCCCCCTCCTTCAAATCAGTGGCAATTTCTTTGGATGCTAATAAAACTGTGTCTGAGATCTGACTAGATTCATTTGTATATGCAACAGATGGCCTCTGCTGTCCTGCTTCCACCAGCTAGGCTGTCATTCTTCCTTCTCTTCTCTAACGACAAACCAACTCCCATTTTATTCTGACTCCTCCAACATGGCTGTTAAAATATGTATCAATCTGGCATCAATGTCACATATGCTCTCCACTATACAGCCATGCTACAGAGGCATTACTGTAAACGCTAGATTGATACATCACCAGATGGCAGTTGTACCGAGCTGTGATCCCACAGCTCGGTACAACTGCCATCTGGTGATGTATCAATCTAGCGTTTACAAATGATGCATGTAAATAAGACATCATGAAGACACAAATCTATCCCCATTATATAAATGGAGTGCATCAGCCAGGGTTACAGTAACAGCTGCTTTAACCGTTCAAGGCTTGCTTTCTCACATCAGCCGAAAGTGGCCTTTGTCTTTGTAAGGTGTGATGTCCAAGAGTGTGTCCGTCCAGGTCTTGATAATGTCCTCCAGGCTCTTAATTGTCAAACACAAAGAGTAATGTTAGCATACAGGACACACACAGAGGTCCTTTAGAATCTTTTCATTTTTCAACATAAATCTAAAAATGTTTCTCAATTGTCTTTTATACAATCATTCTTTGTAGTCTTGCACTTTGGAAGTATGTATACAGACTAGAATAATATGATACCCTATTAAGAAAGATATTTATGAGATTTCTTTCATGGGTACAATGACCAGAGGTGAGAGAAGCTACACATCTGCCCACTGAGCATCAGTGTAGACTCCAGGAAGTGACTGGACCTGTTCTATGGAGAGTTCCTTGCTGGAGGCTCCAGAGATCTCACAGATCTTCTCAGTATACCTGTCCAGGCCCAGAGATATGATCTTATCCAGGGTGAATTCAGTGCTGGTTTGGTCAAAGGAGCACTGCAGCTCGTCGCAGATCTGCTTCCAGTGCCTGAAAGAAAGGTGGCATTGAGAGCAGGGTTTGTCCTGAGTGTGAGTTTACATTTGCCCAGTAAGTCAGCAAATGAAAGTAAAGTAAAGAAAGCTACCACCTCCCAGGTAAGACACTTCACAAACAAAACAATAGTTCCGAACTATACTTTAATGACAAGGAAACACATGTAGATTATTTAAATCAATACCTGTCTCTCATGGCTGGGTTCCTCAGATCAGCAATGAGAGGGATGATCCTCTTAAACTGGTCTATCTTATTCTTGGTGAAATCCACAATGTCCCACTCCTTATCCTGCAGGCAGACAAAGATCAGGTCGTCTCTACTGTGTAATATTTATGTTAGAACTTCTGCATTTTGCCGATATTGTCATCAAATGCAGTGTGTCCTGAGAGGAGGGCATATCATGGTTTAGCTGTCATTGTAAACACAAGGCATTATTCAGTTTCCTTTGAAGTGAAACAATGTCAAGCTTTTAGATAGTGCAGTACTGATTACATGTATTGTTTGGGCATCAGTGCATTAAGGTACATCTCTTAACTGACACAGATAATATATCATAGCTAAACCGTGAGTGTAGTAGCTAGCTGTTAACAAACTATTTTTGACAAGACTGACCTTTAGTTCTCTCTGGAGTTTGTGGAGAATTTTGAACATGTCCTGTGCTGTGCTCTCCATGTTCTCCGTCCGCAGGGTGGCAAACTGACCGACCTTCCAGATGTTCCAGTTGGTGTTCCACTCCTTTGTGATCTCCCAGACCTGCTGCAGGTGTTCTATGTCCTGTACAAACATCCATTTAAACACACAAACGGTCAATATATAATCATGTACATAATTCTAATATACCCTCTTTAATGGTCACACATGCAGAGCACACAGTACACACATCCTAGTACCAGGAGTCGAGTACTAGGAGCAGGGCAGCTATTGTACAGCGGCCCTGCATTACGCATTTGCAAAATTCCTTTAATGGCAACATCCTAGGTCTGAATTTATAAACACGTCTAAGTCATGTCCTGAAAAAGGGCATATACTGTACTATCAATTACCGTCTAAAGAATGCTAACTCACTTATGCTAAGCCAGTTTATCTCAACCACACAATTCCCACAGAACTGTATGAGCTTGTTTATAAGTATATAAGGGCTATGAGGTAAGTGCTTTGTCTGACCTTTTCGAGCGCCCGGATCTTCTTGGAGGGGGGCTGTTCTATTTTAAAGAAGTTCAGCCCTTGAATGAGGGTGATCTCTTCCTGTTTCAGAGCCTCCAGTTGGCTGTGATGCTCGGCTACTTGGTTTAAGGCAAACTCCGTGCTGAGGGAACTGTCAAATGGACCTGGATATGAACAATTAAAATGAAATGAGATCAATAACCCATGAAAAAGCATACAAAAACAGAAAAACATACAGATTTAAATTTCCACACACTATTATACAATGCCTACTGAATACTACCTTTCAGCTATATCATATATGTGTGTTAAAAGAGTGTGTGTGTATGCGTGTGTGTGCGTGTGCGTGTGTGTGTGTGTGTGTGTGTGTGCGTGTGTGTGTGTGCGTGTGTGTACGTGTGCGTGTGTGTGTGCGTGTGTGTGTGTGTGTGTGTGTGTGTGTGTGTGTGTGTGTGTGTGTGTGTGTGTGTGTGTGTGTGTGTGTGTGTGTGTGTGTGTGTGTGTGTGTGTGTGACCTGTGCTGTTGAACTCCTCCATAGTGCTCTGGGTCTTCTTCTTGAGCTCCTCAGAGGAGAGGAGGAGGGTGTTCTTAAACTTCTCCTTGTCCTTCTGCAGCAGGATGTCACTGTCAATCAACACCTGCTGGAACCACACCCAGTCCTCATTCAGCACCTCATGCAACTGCTGCACCTGTGGGTCACCAACACATGTAGTGTTCGTTTGTATGACTTCAGGGGAGGTTAACACTATACACTTTTCTTAGTCCTTTCTCTCTGTATCAGGCAATGTGCTTACAGCCTGTTCCACTGGGACCTCATATTTGTCCAGGATAGCAAACTGTTCGTGGATGAGAGGAATCTGAGCTTCGGTCTTAGCCAGGTTGCCCTGAAGAGTCTCCAACAGCTTCAGGTTCCCACTGAGCTCTGCCAGTGTCTGAGGAGGTTTTTTCAGCCTAAACACACACATAGAAATATCACAACAAAGAATCATACCACTTTAAGCACAGTATATATTTTCCAAATGTTTACAGGATCAACATTTCCCCCTTGGCTTTCCAATCTCGTCTTCTATTTATCCTCAAAAATGAAAAAAAAAAAGTTTTCTTCAATTCTATATTATTTATTTTCATACATATTTTTTGTTCTGTTTAATTTCTTACCTATTCTATATTTACTTTTCTTGTTTTATTTTTAATTTGTCCTACTAGGTTTACGTTTTGCACCAATACAATACATCGAGTCCTTGTATGTGAAAAACGACTACGCAATTAACCGGATTCTGATTCTGATCTTCCCTTAATGACTGAAAACATCACTTAAGGTCAAATCAATAAATAGTCTTGCCAAGGACTTGTTAGATCTCTCTCCCTCTTCACCTGTCACCCCTACTTTCTGTAATAAACACATACAAATGAGTCCAATATAAACTCCTCTCCATTGACTCCCCACCTGTTGGCATTGTCCTGCATGGAGCCATGAAGTTCTTTGAGGCGGGTGCTCGCCATGTGGCTGAGCAGCTGAGTGAACATGGTTTGCCACTGGCTGCAGAGCTGCGCCAAGGAGGACTTGAGAGGGGAACAGTCCAGCATGACAAACCGGATGGTCAACACCGTCTCTTCCTGCTGAACACTGTTGGCCTTTTCTGTGTACCTGGGGGTAAAACAAGACAACAACTCACAATGTAGTCCAATGCTTGGAGTATCAAAAGATGCATAGAAATGAACAATCAAAGAAGGATGTTCCTGCCTGTGTATATCAGCATCAAAAGTAGTGACTGGTGGGTTTAGCCTCTTGTAGCGTTGTATAAAGGAATCCTGGTTGTTCTCCCAGATATCCCTGTATCTGTCCCACGTCTTTAGATAGATCTGCAGGTTGCTGGCATTGGCTGTCATCCCTGTGGCAACTGCAGCCTGAATCTTCTTTATCTCCTCGTCTTGCTCTAAAGCAGGGGTGTCAAACTCAATTTCATCGCAGGCCACATTAGCATTATGGTTGCACTCAAAGGGCCGGTTGTAACTATATAAATATACATATATAAATATATTATTATATAAAATAATGTATTATGTTACATTATTGCCTCTGAATTGGATTATTATCGGATAGGGTAATAACTAACTATGTTTGAAAGCAGAAGTCCAGGGCAAATAATTGCAAGTCTCTTCAGTGTGCATGTCACAAAACGAGATGCATTGTGGGACATGTAGTTTATGGAAAACCTGCTTCTGTAAAGTGGCATGTAACCGTATAATAAACTTATTATATTCTTTGCATGCTCTTGCGGGGCCACATAAAATGAAGTCGAGGGCCGGATTTGGACCCCGGGCCTTGAGTTTGAGACCCCTGCTCTAAAGGATTGAAGATGGCAAGGGTGACAACGGAGACGGGAGAAGAAGCACTTTCGGGTCTACATTATTCTCAGCACACAGTAAAAACAGATCAGATATTCACAGTGGTACTCTTTTTGGACATTTAAAAAACGTTGCTCTAACCTATGTTGATGTGCATGGGATTCCCCTCTGGCTGCTTGCCGGAGAGAACTTCAGACAGTCGTTTAAATTCTGAGATGGTGTTGATGAGCTGAGGCATAATGTTCACAATCTGAGAGAGCTTTGCGATCGTAGGGGAGATCTCGACCTGTCAAAACCCACGCAGGTCAGCATAAAGAGAACTACCCCAACATACATTTTGATATTTCCATAGCACTTAGATAAATAGGAGTTTGATGGTACCTTCGGTGTACTTGTGGGAGTTGCCTGGCGCATTGCTACCATGACTTTGAACAAGGGATTAGGCGAGGTCTTGTTGTCTCCATTGATGGCCCTGGAGAGCTTCTTCATGGAGTTCTTGATGTTGCTCCTTAGAGCTTCTTCTACCATGTGATCCACCTTCTCTGTATAGATCGCCCAGTGCTCCTCGACCTTAAACACCATGGTACAAACATGACATGGGACTGCACATTTGTATGTTTGCTGTACATGATATCAAATAAAACAGTCGATACGAACAGAAAGAGATTTGACTTAATGAGAAAGAGGCAGAATGCAGTGTTTGCTCTCTTGCTTGTTGTCATTGAGTTTTCATGCAAACATTTTTCAAAATGTTGTGTTGATTTAAACATCACCTTCAGAAAAAGAGCTGAGCTACAACTTAACAGTTTCAAGTTAACACATCTTGCATCATTATCATGTTGGCTTACACCTAGCATACAAACATTATTTTCTCACATAGAGGAAGCACAAAATAATAATCTTATACATGTTACAGTGTTCCAACTATTTCCTAACAGTGCAGGAAGAATAACGCCAGTAGTGAAGGAGAAAGAGCACACACCTCAGGCCCATCATTGGAGAAGGTGCTGTGAGACATAATTTCAGCAATATCCTGGTGTGCTGAGCGCAGTGTTTGGAGTTGGATCTGCTGGTGTTTCTTCTGGTCATCCTCAAACTCCAGGTTCCTTAGAATTGCAGGAGAAACACCCAAGATTCAACCAACACAGAAAAACAATGTGCATCACTTGAACGGTAATATGCAACCCGTGTGCATCACTTCAGACAATTGCAAAAGTGGTGACAATTTATGAATGATTTGTCAGTAATATAATATGGCCTGTTTCAAGATAATTAGCTCGATATTGGAACTAAAGTAAAGGGGATTTCAAAGAATGACAGCATAGACAACATCCACATCACAACGCTGAGTTTAAGGATGAATGAAGACGATGAATAAAATGAAAGGGTGTCATGTTTAAAATCAACTCATAAAAACAACTTTACCCAATGTTTACAGTAGTTCATGAATTTACATTTGAAATACATACACACAATATAAATTGTAGGAACCATTTCGTAGGAAGTGACTAAAAACATGATGAACAATATCTGTACCTTTCTCCATTTTGTGTTTTACTCTGTTAGGCATCCCATGCAATGAGGAAGTGAGTGTTACCTGAACACAGTCTTTCCATCCAGCTTAACCAGCAATGTTTCGCTGATTTGGCAACAGAGGTTGGAGATGGATAGGTTGGATAGTTTGTATCCATCAACCAACAACTGAACCTATCGTGTGATTAAGATGAGAGGAGAGGAGTTTATCAGTGACTAAACACCACTATCCAAGAATATGATCCACATCTGTTGAGGATACTTTGAGGTACTTTTATCCTGTTGACACCACTTTTGTCATTGTGAATCCAAACAGACAGTATTTATTACAGTAACTGTACAGGTGGCTATATCAGTTATGCGTAAACCTTGTGTTCCTACCTTGTTCACGTGCTGGAGTCCTTCCCGGATGAAGATATTAGAAGCCCCTTTAGAAAACCACTCGAGCTTGGTCAGCCCCGGCTGAATTTTCTTATCAAGGAAACGAATCCGCTCGCGAAACAGACCTATCTCATCAGGAGACAGCATCCCAATGACCCTGATATATACACACACACACACACACACACACACACACACACACACACACACACACACACACACACACACACACACACACACACACACACACACACACACACACACACACACACACACACACACACACACACACACACACACACACACAGAAGGGCATTTAGTTAATTTCGGTGAGCTCAGTTAACTGGTTAACAACTACAGACAACTGCTGAGATTTTGTGTGAATTTGGAGTGAATGTGTTTTCATTTTTAATTATTGTATATCCTATATTACCAGCTAAGAACTTAAAATTCAAAAGCTTGGTAAAACAATATATATATTAGGGCTGTCAAGTTAACGCGTTAAGGTGCCACTAATTATTTTAACGTGCGATTAACGCATGTTTATTTGTCCTCGGCCCGCCCCGTAGTTTCAGAGCCCAAAGGCTTGACGTTGTTGTTGTTGTTGTTAGTTGGATGGTGGGAGATTCTAGCGAGAGATATGGATACAAAAAAAGGTGTTTTAAACAGCAAGCCAAGCACACAGCTGATGCTGCAGCCCCGCTCCTGCTGCTCGCTTGCGGCAGACCACGCTTGAAAGTTTGCCGGGGAGACGCCTGGACACGGCGTCTACGAGCAGCAAGCTTTCAACAGCGATAGCTAAATGGGTGGCGGTGGCTACAGCTTGCAGGACAATTAACATTGTGGAGGACGAGGGGCTGTGTGAGATAATTCGCATCCAACGTGTCGACTGCACATCACAGCGCATTATTTTGACCGATTTTTGACCCAAGGTGGGAACTTCAGTCTCATGCTTTGACTGTTATGAAGACAGAGGAGCGGCATTTCGCCGACAACTGTAAACAGGCTTGTCTGTTTGAGTAACTGGCTCAGTGCAGAGAAGTAGACAGGGTTGGGAGAGAGTGTAAGAGAGAGAGAGAGAGAGGTTCCAGGTTGTTGTATTGAAAATATTCAGGAGAATATTTGTCATTGTTACAATGATAATAAACAAACATTTGCATAAAGCATATTTGTCCACTCAGATGTTGATAAGAGTATTAAAAACTTGAAAAATATTCCTCTAAGGTACATTTAGAACAAATACAAAATGATTAATCACGATTAACTTTGGACATCATGCGATTAATCGCTATTCAATATTTTAATCGACTGACAGCCCTATTATATATATATATATTTGATAGACTAAACTATATCAGGTTTGTGGTAGTCACAGTCCCTTCCAAGAATAATGTCTGATGTTTAAAATATGACGATACATCAGGCCCCTGATATCATACATCAATTGTTCAGTTCATTCATGTTTTCGTCCTCTTCTGTGTGTGTGTGTGTGTGTGTGTGTGTGTGTGTGTGTGTGTGTGTGTGTGTGTGTGTGTGTGTGTGTGTGTGTGTGTGTGTGTGTGTGTGTGTGTGTGTGTGTGTGTGTGTGTGTGTGTGTGTGTGTGTGTGTGTGTGTGTGTCAGACCTGTTGTAGTCCCTGGTCAGCAGCAGTGCTCTCTCCCTCAGGCCTCGGAGTTCCTCCCTGTCCTGGTAAATGTCAGACACACACTGGGGGATCTCAAACTTCAGTCGATCCCAGTAGTGGATCTCAGAGAACAGGAGTAACAGGTTGCTGGACAAGAAAACACACAGAAAAAAACTAAATGAATTAAGAGGTCATGTATGTAAACATTTAGCCTTAAAATGAATATATATTGTGTATGAGCATGTCAGAGAGTGTATTAGCATCAGTACTTAAGACACTGAATGTATATTTAAAAATGAATGACTGGTGTTGTGTGTAAGTGCTGCTTGTTTCACACACTTGTCAAAGTTGACCTCCAGCTTGGCGGTCTTGTCCTTGCAGCGCAGCAGGAGTGGCTGCTCCAGTCTCTTGAGGTACTGTGTATCCAGGTTCTGGCTCCACGCGCTGAAGTTCTTCCTCATCCTCTCGTCAAAAACCTGAACCATCTGGGCATTGGTGAAAACGACATGCTTGCGGCTGTTTGACTCAGGCATGAAGTGGGCCTTCTGAAGCACCTGGAGGGGAACGAAAGAGGACAAATGAGAAGAAAAATCAAGGAAGAAGCTCCAGAAGGAGAGATTAATACCGTCTGTTAATAGTGAGCACATGCTTACAATTCAACCAAAGCAGAGTCAGAGTTCTAACTAAACATCTTTACTTTGCATCCTGCTTATGGTGGTGGAAAGTAACGGTTGAGTACAAGTAGAAAAGGGAATAGATTAGCGTATAGTCTAATGAACTCACCTCCATGGGTATCTCTAAGCGTTGCTTGAGGGCCCTCACCCAGTGGGCCTCGCCTGCCATCCGGGCCATGTGGTCAGGATAAGACCTCGTCCTCTGATTCAGCTCCTTGTTGGCCATTTTGAGCTCTTTGCGAAAGATGCTGTACACTTGCTCCATCTTCTCTTCTGTTGTCCGCTTAATGGCCTGGGTAGATGGAAGTGAATGAGTACACGAATTGTACAAGAGTAAGAAACCGACAATAACCCTGTATAGTTATTTTTTAAGGTTTCATTAATATAAGGTGATCAAAAGTGTTAATGTATTGATATATGTTTGGTGGTTTAAAAGTGAATTGAGTGAATGTACGTGTGTGTTTGTGAGATACACACCTCTCGAGTAGACATTGGCCTAAAAATGTCAAGAAGCCGAACTCCTTCCTCCACTGTGGTCACCGTCTTGAACACTGATTTGATCAGGTTCTGCTTTAACATTTCCAGATCCTTCACCAACGCACGAAACCTGTGTGTACAAGCACACACGCGCAGGAACATATCACCTGGTTATCAAAATTATGCAAATGTTTGTTTGTGTTAAGAGGTTTTAATAAGATTTGCAGCCTATACTTTCATAAAATTAAACTTAGTCCTACTTTTTGAATGCATTGCCCCATGTGGAGCTCTCGACATCAAGGACGCCCTGTTCAAGAGAGTGCAGGTTCTTCAGGCCCCGGTGGAAGTTGCCCTCTATCTCCAGGAGGGAGTGGGTGAACTCTGGTCCCTGGCAACCGCTGAAGCACGGCTGGGGCCTCTGCTGACCATCTTCCCAACGGGCAAACTGATACTGGCAGTCACATACCTGCACAAAGGAAGAGAAAATGATATCCAAAAAGTCAAGACATTGTGAAATTACGGTTGATTTGAAATATAATCAAGGTCATATATCATTCATTTATGGAGAATTGATTCACAACAAAGCGTGTTCAATAATAACAGGGATAGACGGTAGATATATATTCTCACAAAGAGAATTGGAAAGAAATAAGAAAAGCAAGTCCACAAATGCTAACCCCTATTACTGTATTTGTCTCAGATCTGTTGAAATTGCAATGACAACACATAATACAATTGGACATTTCCTATTGTGGCGTAATGTGTGTCAATGCAACCTCACTGCAATCATTCACAATACTTATACCTTTTTTTCAACCTTAGCACTTGTCATGACATAACATTTGCAGAAAGATACTGTAACAGAGATGTTCAATGAAGAAACATTGCTTGTAGAATTGTATTTTGTTGCTGAAGACGTGTGTGTGTGTGTGTGTGTGTGTGTGTGTGTGTGTGTGTGTGTGTGTGTGTGTGTGTGTGTGTGTGTGTGTGTGTGTGTGTGTGTGTGTGTGTGTGTGTGTGTGTGTGTGTGTGTGTGGAACATTTACCTCAAGCAACTCTTTGAACCTCTGAATCGAGACATCAAACACCACAAAAATGCTGGTTTGGTCCAAGACCCATCCTTTTGGAGAATACCTGATGTAAAGGCAGAGGTAAAGTTACAATATTTGAAATCTAACAAATATAAGTTGTGTCTGCCTCTAACCCTAATGACAAAGCGTAGAGTCACTACAAATGTGAGATATTCTCCTACTTTTGGTGAACCTGTGAGGCATGCAGGTAAATTTCCTTCCAGGCCAGGCAGCACTGGATACAGTCTGTGAGGTTCTGCTTGCTCGATAACACATAGCCCCCAAAGAGCTTGTCCAGAGAGAGGCTATTGGAGCACAGGTGGATGATCTCATTACTCATCTGCAACACAACAGAAAAAAAAACGTTGTCACTTTCAGCTTCAGAAAATGTCCATCATCAGCTATGGAAAAAAGGATGTTTTTGTTTTTTGTTTTACTGCTCACCCTATCAGGCAGGTTATCAATGTAGCATCAGCCACAGCAGCAGATGTATGCACTCAAACACTTACAAAATAATTAGACCGAATATTTAAGAGAGAGCAATGTGTATGCACAGCTTGCAATTGAAGTGAAACGATCCAGCTCTTCAGGTAATGAAAACTGTGATCAGGCATTGAATTCAGTGCATTCACTCTCAGGGCGTTGTAACTGATGTGTGAACACCCAGAATGAGTGGAAGTGGTTTTCAGTAACAATGACTCTTACTAGAATAGAAACATATGTAAGTACTAGGTGATTCACAACTTGAATTCATGATTGATCTGATGCGGTAAACTGCAGGCACCTTGCGGAATAGACCGGTGATCCTCTCGCTGCTGTTGTAGTCTGTGGAGTTGACCCAGATGATGCGAATGAGACTGACAATGTGTCGCAGCTTGGGAGCAACTTGGCTAGGCTTGAGCTGGGTAAGCTCTTCACACGGCTCCTTCAGTATGGACAGGTAGAGCAGGTTGGATTGGGCCTGCAGAGAGCATTCCTAGGCAAACACACAAAGTGAAGATGATAATATGCCAACATTTTCAAATAGTTGGTAAAGTGATGCGTTAATGTTGTAATAAATAGCAGAACCAGTGAACAAATATCTTGTTGGTCAGTGAGTAAGAGTTGATGAAGATATTCTAGATGTGTAGTACCTGTATTTCCTTGGCCAGATTGCTAAAGCGCTGTTCATAGAGAGACTTGGAGAGCTTCAGTATGTTCTGGATGTGCCTGACCGCTGGCTTTTGTAGCTGCTGGCTGACGTTCAACAGCTTGGCAGAGCGACTCTTCCAGAAGGCTATCTCCTCAAGAGGGCCGCAGTTGTTCTTCATATTCGTTATTGCTTTTGCATTCAGTAGCTCCTTGATCTGATCCGTCCAGCGGATCACAATAACTAATAACAGAGAGAAAAGGTGTAAGAAAAGGTAAATAGAGGTAGCAAGTTTTCTCCTTATTTTAAATAAAATGACTGAATATATGAGAACAAATAAATAGTCTGGATAAGACAAACACAGAATGACAGATGCAGCAAAGGATGGAAGGATGTGAATATGATGAAGGAAATGTTCAAATCTGAGAAATGGATGTTAAGGAGAGTTGACGAGGAAATTGAGAAAGAAAGACTATTGGTGGAAGAAGAGTAGAAAAAAACAATGGACAAATTAGACTGATGTGAGTAAGAGGCTGTGAGCCCAGTACAGCATTAAATACAATCTCAAGAGTTGGAAAGTCAATGTGGTTTTGAACAGAAACAGGTGTGACCTCCTAGATACAGACTCCACAGAGATGGGTGAAAGAAGAAAGGCACCCCAACCCCCCTCCCAAACACACAAGCTGTATCAGGATCTTACCCTCCATTCTCTGCACCAGCTTTTTGTCTTTGCTGGCCACCTCAGGGCTGCACTGTAGGCCTTCCATTGGGATGTATAGAACTGTGTAGCCCTCATTCTTAAACACATCATCTGTAAGAAAAGAAAATAGTGTAACATGTGGCTTTGTGAACATTTCAGCATTTATGTTATCTTGAGACTTGTCATTTAATCGTCTTAACTGTCTCTCTCTCTGCTCCACTTAGGAACCCACCTGTGATGCTAGCAAGATAGCAGTGAATGTCGTTGGTATAATCATCCTTGGTGCTCCTTCCCCTGAAGGAGGTGAGGGCAATTGAGGGGGCATGCAAACAAGTCATGTCATGAAGAACCTTCTGGTTGGAACCGCCCTGGGCTGTGCTAAACTGTATCACCGCATCAAAGGTCTCAGCTGTGATTATGGTTCCTTCCATGCGGCTAAAATAGGACAAAGGCTGCACCACCTGAAGAGATGAAAAACACAGTAAGGCAGTTGGATTTTGGAATGAGACATACTGTACAGGAAAAGAGATCTCTTGGACAATGGTTCATTTGAAATACAATTAACAGTATTACAAGTGAGAAGAACATTGTGCCATACCTTTTCAGGCATGGAGTATTCCACATGCAGCTTGTCATGCTCGTCCATGTAGACCACCATGGTTGTGAGAGATGTGTCCACAATAAATGGATCCAATGCCAGCTCATTTTCCTCTGTCCAAGACTCTCTGGTTATACCAGAAGAAGCCACACATTGGATAAACAACTGTGTAAGGATATTAAAGGAAGGGTACAGGGAGAAAAAGATAGAGAGAAAGATAATGTAAAAGGTTGTAATTTAGATGGACAATATCTGTGTTTATCCCACAGAAGTAGAAGAAAAAATATTCCAACCAATAACCAGCTTTACCGGACGAATGGTTTTAAAGTATTCGTCATCCATTTCTTTCCAAGCTTTCTCCACCTGTTATCACAAGGAGCACACAACTGAAATGCAGTGACATAACGATACATTTTTCCAAGTTTCGTGACTTTTTTCCAGAGGTGGAAGAACTACTTAATTATTGTACTTGAGTAAAAGTAGAAGTACCAGAGTGTAGGAATATTCTCCAAAAAGTAAAAGTCCTGCTATCAAAATGTTACACAAGAAAAAGTACAAAACTATTATAAAAATTAAAGTACTCATGCAGATTGGCCCATTTCAGAACAAATATATATGATGCGTTTTGTATATAATTATTGATACATTTAAGTATTATCAAAGCTGGTAAAGGTGCAGCTAGTTTACATTACTTTACATGCTGCAGGGTAGCTTGTGAATTTACTCCGGGTGTAACTAAAGTCTTATTATATTTTCACATAATTAATCCAAATCTGCAAAGTAACTACAGGTATTAAATAAATGTAGTGGAGTAACAGTACACGATATACCTCTGAATTGTTTCATCTACTTAGTTACTTTGTTTACACCACTGCCTTTTTCACAATAACTATTTCAGTCAACATTGTTTATTTTCATATTCGTAGTTGGCTGTAGAAATGTATTTATCATTTGTGGATGTTGTAGATTGGTGTAACAAACGTTAGCTAGCAAACTTTTAGCAACTAGTTAGCTTAACGGCAGTTTACCTTAATGACCTCTCCGCTAACAGGCACAGCCGTGAAGTCCTCACGAGCTGAAATACATGACAACTGAAGAAGTGCAATTATTTACTCAACAACTACAGTATCCGGCTAAATTATGTTATCAAAAGTCATTATTTACGATAGCTACGTGACTTTTCTTGTATATGTTCCGCGTTTAGCATCCCTTCAGTCAAACCTTTAGTTTGAGTATGCATGTCTCCATGGTAACGTTTGGTTGTCTGGGTAACGCCGGAGAGTGGGGTTGGGCATTACACGAGCATGCTCACGAGCTCATGCGGAGTTTAGGGGGAAGGTGGAGTTGGAGGGGGCATATTTCCTGCTGGATTAGTTTGTTGTAGGTCTGTGGTCCGGCATGGTGTCTTCCAGTTCCAAGCATTCTCAAGTTAAACTTTTTCAAAATAATAATAGCTGACCTGGGTCGCCACCTGGTGGCAGAAAAACTGAAGTGCTGCAGGGATAAAGAAGTGTGGAAATTACAAAGTTGACACGCGGTGCACAGATACAAGTTATAGAAACATGTTGAAGGCATGACGATTCACTGATATGCATCTCTGTACTGTCATATCACCTTTCTAAATAATTCCAGTGCTCATTTTCCTCCTCTTATGTTTGCATCTAATAAAACATACACGTTTGGCATCCATAATAAAACAGCAGAAGTTAGTGCTTCTTAATGTGGCTTCTACAATGAGCCTATGAATAGTGAAGGTAATAATCATTAGGCTACTCCCCATGAAATGACTGGCAAACACAAAGTATGACTTGCCCCAATTCCATAAATGTAACCCAACTAGATCCCACACTGTAAAATGTTTGGCTGTAAAATTACAGTAAATTACTGGCTACTAGTTGCATGGATTTCACAGTAATTGACTAAATATTTCACAGTCATTTACTGTAGATATTTTACAGCAAATTAGAATAAAAGTACAATTAAATACTGTGACTTTACAGTTGCCATTCCCATGGAATTACTGTGATATAGCAGTACAGAGCTGTGGTATTATGGTACCTTGCTGTACATAAATTACAGTAATTACCTGTATTTCCACACTATTACTGTAGAAGTAATGCAACACAGTAGCCAGTAATTTACTGTAAATATAAAAATTTAAAAATACGATAATATATTGTAAATTTGACTGGGATTTTACCATGAATCAGCTCAATCAACAAAGAAAAACAAAGAAAATGTCCATTTTAACTTTTTATTACTCCATTGAAGTGCAAAGTACATTTCACAGTGTCTTGGACATGTTGTTACGGCCCCAAACTCTACTCCGCGGTAGTGGCTCGTGCTGAGACCCGCAACATGAAAGAATACACGCAATAACCGGTACTTGGTAACGAGCATTTATTGATAATCAGCCGTTTGCTCACACAAGCGAAACGGGAAACAAGAAGAGGTCTGGAGGAGTGGCCAAAAGGAACAAACAGAAGGAGGGGTCGTAGGACCCAGAGCTCTCCCCCCCCCAACCAGAAATCAATTATAAACCCTAAGGGAAACAAAATAAAGCCGAAAACTGGACTACCAGGTCCTACAGGCTAAACATAAGCACATCTGCAAAAATATGGCCTACAGCTCAAAATGGCAAAGAGGTATTCTAAGGAGAGTGTCTCCCGGCGTTAGGACAGGCGAGACATCCTTCTCCTCCAGCTTCTCTTTATATATACACGGCTGAGTGGCATTTGGAACACCTGGGCAGAGGCGGAGCCAGGGGCAGACCAGGTGCACCACTCTAAGTCAAGAATATTTCTGAAGAATGTGCTGACATGGGGGTTTAAATTGCCATGCCTCTTTTTGGCTTTCGAGTCCGTCTCAGGATTAATGCCCAGGAAGCACCTGAAAACAATAAGCCAAGACAACAATTTCACATAGATTTATATGTTGCATCGTTTATTTTAAGGCACATTCAGCGGTGCCCTTTTCAATTTAAGTGAAACCTGCACCAAAGAAAGAAATTAGTATTTAAAGCAAGAGCGATAAAAGCAAGAAAATCACTTAATTTGTTGTGTTATCACAGAGGATGCATGGTCTGAATACAGTATTTTACTGTGAAATAATACAGTAACATGTTGTGAAATCCTGGTAATCATTGATCCTGTACATTCACAGTCATTAACTGTGACTGCATTGATTTCACTGTGAAATTCAAAATTACAGTATTATATTGTGAACATTACAGGTAAAGACTGTAAAGTAGTAAAACAGTAATTTATTGTAACATATTACAGCCAAATATTGTGAAATCATGGTAATATTTTACAGTGCAGGTTTGAATCATTATGTTTAGGAAGTTACTGAGAGCTAATTGTCGCTAAAAGGATTCGCAAGTCGTTTTTTGAAGATGCTTTTTCTTATATTTTCTATTCCCTTTCCAATATTTTAAAAACCTTAGAATTTAAAGATAAGTCGATACGAAGATTGGAAAAGTTGTCTTTCAATGAAAAAATTGTAAAAAAAACACAGTTGTCTTGTGCCCGGAAACACAATTCATATTCTCCTATTAGACAGGAAAGTGAATGATCTCCCGATTGCACATCTTTAAAGTTTATATTACCGGTGTACTATGCATAAAGAAAAACACCTCCTAAATCTGATAATTTAGTTACAACCCTCCCTGAGACTTTGAATTTGAATCCAGCATATTTCACATATATAGCGTAATACAAACAGACACACCCAAACACACAGAGACTTGGGTCTGATAAAGAAGCTCTTAAACCCTGAGGAAGTTTGTGTTTGGTCTTTTATGAGAAAAATACTTACGTCTGAATACAACCTAGAGCACAACCCCCTCCCCCCTCTCTCTGGTTCCCCTCTCTCATTACTGGACCATTCTTCCCCCCGGCTCACTTTCTCCAGGGTTCTTCTCTTGTTTTTCTCCCCCTCCCTTTCAGGAGTTTGGGCTGAGTCCTTTTCCAGTGGGGAAGTCCGGGCCTTCTCTCTCACAACGCTGAGCGACTCCAAACGTCTTGTGGGAGGCTTCATTAGAATTCATTTGTTTGAAATGGTTCATTTCTCCTCCAGTCTCTCCTTCCCTGTCCTCTTTTCAGGTTTGGGGATTTGCATATTAGCATACAAATATTATCACCTTGGTTAACTGCATTGTTTCTGCGTGTGTTTTGTTACTGTAAGAACGCTGATGTGTGTCTGAGTGTTAAATCAACAGGATAGGATAGGTACACAGCCTGGACTAAGGTCCACATGCATGTTGAATGCAAACACATACAACAATGTATGGATAAGAGGAGTACAAGCACCTATGTACACAAATGCTTATACCATATAATTACAGACTGAACACACAGACACACACATACAGCAGAGCTTTGTGAAGACACCAGATACAAAATGGTCAGAGACACAGACACAGGCAGGCCCAAATGAAAGCCATGAGTCTGTGAGCTCAGAACTAATGACAGGCTGCCATGCCAAGGAGGGGAGGAGAAGAGAGGGATGGAGGGGTGAATAAGGAGGGAGAGTCTGTGAGGGGCTGCTGTTGCTGCTTGGACCTGATGAGAGGAGGCTGGAGATATACAGCATTACTTAGTACAATTAGAAAAGGGAGGAGGGTTTGATGAGAGCCACAAATACAAATACATCTCAAAAAGATACAGAGTAACAGAGAGTTCTCTACTTTATAAGTGGTCGGGAGAATAGAATACAGAAGCTCAGCTGGACGCAGCGGCCCTATTAACTGTTCAATGTTGCAATAAAAGAGAATAGACAGAGACACACACACACACACACACACACACACACACACACACACACACACACACACACACACACACACACACACACACACACACACACACACACACACACACACACACACACACACACACACACACACACACACACACACACACACACACACACACACACACACACACACACACACACACACACACACACACACACACACACACACACACACACACACACACACACACACACACACACACACACACACACACTTTTCCAGCCCCTTGACCCAGGCTGACAGCACCCTGTGTTTTCTCTGCCCTGTAGAGAGAGCTCTGGTCATAATGAAGTGTTCGGACAGAATTACGGCTAGAATACTGCCAGAGCCCCATCGCAGTGTGTGTGCATGTGTGTGTGAGTGTGTACTGTCAAGATGCATTTTAAATGGGGGCATACCACAGAAAAACGTTTGTCATTAAAGTAAGCATGAACATTCAGGTAGAGAAATGTGATTACAAAAAGGAAAGATTTAATAAAGCCGTAACTTCTCATGTTTCCTAATAGGCCTACTTGTGTTCCTGAATCAGCATTGGCTTTTGTTGTCTTGTGTTATAGAAGACTGCTCATTTTCCAAAGAGCAGCTGTCTCAATATTATTGATCCAAGCCACACTTCTTCAGTGTAGTCTGCCAACTTTATGAATAGACTAAGGGAAGTAAAGCAATGGTTTCACAAGAGGAGGTGAGAATTACGCATAACTTAATTGAAACCCAAAACCATTATAAGCCTTAACATAACTGGGTTGAAATGATAATGTCAGATGAGTGTGTGTGTTTCTGTAGTAGTGAGGGTATGGCCCCTCGAGCAATGCTGAAACACAGGCGTCATAGCAGTGAAAGGTCTCCTTCAAACTCAATGCATCACCACTGAGCTTTTCATCCTTCAGTTCCACCAGGGACACACAGACACAATGTTCATCTGTTATGTCTTCGACAGCATGTGGCAAATAAGGGAAGTGTAAACATATTTTTGGTTTACACTCACCTGATTACACAAATATATGTGTGCAACTTGATATTGGCCATAAGTCAATTTAGTCAGAGAAAGACTTTTTGCGGTAAAAAAGAGCAAGTAATCTGTCAAAAAGAGGCCTAAAGAAAACAAAAAGTAGAAAGTATAAACCTGTGTAACGCACCAGGTTAAAAACCTCTGCAGTTGGATGTGGTTGATGTTAAATCATTTTCTAACATCAACCACATCCACCTTTTTTTGGATAATTTCAAATTTGCATTGATGTTAATTTCTACTTTGTTCTGGTAGAAATGTATTGGATAGTTTAACGAAAGGTCAAGTAAATAACTAATTGACATGAGGGACTTAGGGATATGGCTTTAAACCGTAATCATGTTATGACA